AAGGGATGTATATTTTCTATATGGGTTTTTGGAAAAGGGTTGGGGAACTGAAAGGGATAGAATTCTGAAATTACTGTTAGTTTGTGATCTATGAAATGTGTACGTTAGTACAGAATTTGGGTTTAAATACCACGAATAATAAATCTAGAAATTAATTTCAAATTAATTGGATTTGTTCCTGGGCAATGTCTGCTATGAAAATGTCAGGTAGCGTGGCCGAGCGGTCTAAGGCGCTCGTTTTCGGCACCAGTCATTTCGATGGCGTGGGTTCGAATCCCACCGCTGCCAGATTGACGGTAATTTTACAAAATTTGCATTTATCTGATCATAACTCTGTTCCGTTGTTTACTGATATGCACATGTCTCATTCGTACGTTGAATTCAACAAATATTCATTGCAAGTAACTGCGGAATGCACACCGTCTGATCGGTACAACTAAACTTGCCTCGTGGATCTTTGTTCAATATTCGCGGTAAAGAGAAGTGAGCTTGTACGATTAACAAGAAATAATAATAATACGATTTCATAGCTCGCGCCAGGCATCATTGTCACAAATAACGTTAACATATTTACACGATACTGAAAAATAAAAAATACAATTTCAAGAACCCCCTTTCTCGTTTGCAATCCTCAAACTACGTCATGTGGTTGAGCCAAATCTGGGCAGATAGGGTAGATTGGTGTGCATCTCTTTGAAATATAGGAAAATAATGTTAAGATAATAATTGGAGTGTTTCATAGATTGAGGGTCATTTTGGTTTTGTTTTTTGGTTTCTTGAGCCTTGCGTTTTCAGTCTGAACACTCTACAGTCAGTATTTGCTAATCAAAGGAAACCAACAAAACAGTTTGATGTGACATAACACATTATACCAATATATGACAAATTTAGTTTCTAAATAGGTATACATTTTTTAACTAGGCTTTGTGAAAGGGATGTTTATTTTCTTATTTGGGATGAGTGGAAAAGGGTTGGGAAACTTAAAGGAATAGGGGTCTGAAGTTACTCTGGGCACATCATTATTGCCAGGAAGATGAGAACTTGGACATAGTGACATACTAGTATAGTCTCATGCATTCCATTATATGAGTACAACTTTGAATTACAGATTGGTATCACCGTGTTTTGCATTTTAGACGTGAGGTATTTTTTGGTGTGTCAATTGCAGGTACAAGAACAATACACATATTCTTCAGTGTTTCAATTTGTATATATCGCCTGCTCTGCATTGTTGGGCCGTCACCTTTGGATGCTATCTACTATAAGAGTGGAAATCGCAACTTGTAATAAATCAGTCGGTGCTTGGAGAACGGTGCCTGTCACTAAAGTGGGTTACCATAACCACAGTCTCTATAGATATGCAACTTGTATGTAAGTGTGGTATTTGGGTTTAAATATTAAAATTAGTAAATCTAGATTTTCACAAAATAATTACTTTAACATTATGATGTTTGTGAATACCCATTGAAACCAATAAAATACTTTATTTTCACTGGAATTTATTTTCGCTGAAACAACTTTTTAGGTGTGTGATATGGAATTAATTTTCACTGATTTTTGGCGAGTTGAATGTAAAAGATAGGAAAAAAGGTATATTCACTGGATTTTATTTTCACTGAATCATTCCTTCAGCGAAAGTAGCGAAAATTAATTCCAAGCGAAAATAAAGTATTCCACAGTATATGTAATAATGTTTTCTTTGCATTATTGTTCTTGATTAGAGACTACCGGTATACACAACAATCCCATTTCGAGTGAGAAAAAAATAGTAATTTTATGTCTAGACTCTTTTACTAATAGGTGAGTTGATTGAATACTTGCTCATGTGGCAGACCATTGACACGTTTACCAAGCACATGGAAAGAACTAACTGGAAGAATATCACCCAGGGTGCCCAGCCAAGCTGGCCACGAGATGGGTTCCCTTCTGGTAGACCCCCCAATCCCACCAATTTCTTTTCCCATGTCGGCAATATATAGCCGAAACATGGTAAAACAAGACACAGTAACAGATTTGTTTAACTGTAATTTATTTTGTATTGTGCAAAATGTACAAAAATGACTTGATGATTTGGAACACAAATCATGTGTATAAATATAGTATTATTGGTATATCTGTTGTCATGGTAATGTCAAAATATATTCATCCAGGTAAATGTACACGTAAAATACACATGTATGAAATGTATAACAAGTAAGTACTATATACTAATAATTAGTTGTGATTCTGTCTACATCAAACACTGCATATAATGCTACTGAATAAATAGCCAAGGCATGTACAAAGATTATTTGAAGTTGTAATTACTGAAATGACAACTGTAAATAATTAACTGTTTGCTAAGAAGACTCTTTTAACTGTGTTTATATCCAGCAAATTAAGGGGCCTCAAATCTGATAATTCCATCAGAACTGAGGAGCTCAGTTCAAAATCTGATACTGTAGAATACTTTATTTTCGCTTGGAATTTATTTTCGCTATTTTCGCTGAAGGGATGATTCCGTGAAAATAAAATTCAGCGAATATACTTTTTTTCCTATATTTTACATTAAACTCATCAAAAATCAGTGAAAATAAATTCCATACAAAATGCCCGAAAAGCCTTTTCAGCGAAAATTAATTCCAGCGAAAATAAAGTATTCCACAGTATCTCAGTTTACGATATACTACAAAATAAAATAAATTTAGAATATACAATAGATTCTTGTGTTGACTCATAGTAAAACCTCCTGTCAAAAAATTTGCAGGGAGAACAAAGATCAGAATAGATTATGTGATGCCTCCATATTGCTTTCAATGATTATGCAGAAAAACAATAACAAAAACAAAGCACCTTACTAAAAATTCAACAATATCTGACATAAAACTGGATTATTGTAAATTTCCAGTACATTCAAAATTTAAAAAAAAGTTAACATGATACTGAATGGTTGAAAATAAATAAAGGCAGTTGAATTGGTTTGACATGATGAGACGTCAAGTAAGCAAAGTAAAATAATCTTTTAAATAAACACATACATCAGCAGCACCAAGATTCATTGCCTTGTCGTACGGAGCAGAAAACAATAAAACAAGATGAGCAATTAACATAATTTATTCAATTGCTATGGATTCAATATTATTCTGTATAAGATAAAACAAAAATAGATAAAAAATATGCTTCATAAATTTTATGAATAATATTGAAAGATAATATTTGTTGATAAAATAGATAAAAATAAATACACACATTCTGTTAGCACACAGACATAGATCAATGACTGGTGGGCGACAAATCCCAATGCTGCAATTTTGAAATTTCTGGTTGCATTGTTCTTTTCATATAATTCTATAATGCTGTGCCTAAATGAGTTCTGTGGTTTCTAAATGAAAGTAAACATGCTAAAATGCTAGAATATACTTGTTTTGGCATATACAGAGATGAGGGTGGTTGGTCGGGTATATACATCAAGACATCCAGGTGAAAAATTATTAAAAACAAAAAAAAACGTTTGCAGTTCTCTGCCAATGTGACTTGGTTTAGGCATTCATGTTCATGATTTTCATTATTTACCAAAATATGTCAAAAAATACAGCATGTGACCCTTCAGTACATAGAGTTAATAAAATTGAATTCATTAGGCAAAGGGTGTTTGGAATTTTTAAGAACAAAAGTATGGAGAACCTCGACCTTGAGGGCGCTATACAACATTTCATTGCAAGGTATAATATTTATACTTGTGACACTGTTATGCAGTAAAGCAGATGAATTATAATACATCTAAAGGCATATATTTATTCATTTTAAATAGAATGGAAATCATAACTATCAGTTTTTTCTGTTTTCAAAAAAAAAACATTATTGGCATTTTTCTTTTTTTCAATATTGCTTGAAACCTTGATCAAGAAGACTCACTGTTGATTAACCATCAACAAGTCTGTCTTAAAATCTACTTAATTAGCAAAAGAGACAAGTACCCACAATGCTTTGAATAATTAACTGAAAATGGCTGACTCATCATGTGATGATGTTTAACCAATCACAGCTTGGCAAATCTAATACCCACTATTCAAGGCAACAGCTGATTAGACTGAATCAGAAGGTCAAGTGAGCAAGCTTATAGACCACCATCATTATTATAAACACATATTCCGCTTCTCTTTGTTCGCACGTCATTCGGATATTGACACCAATTCTAAAGAGAAGTTGTTGGTATGGCTTCCTATGGAGTAAGGTGTGAAACTGTGATGAATTCATGGTCACAAGAAAATGTATATAAATTCATAGAATCACGCAGTACATTCATTTTCACTGCCAGAACTTCAGATACTCAAGAACGAATCAAGTGTCGTAAATGACGATGATGTGTATATTGTAACTTCTGGACACTGGTTTTCAGGGCTCCAGAAATGAAATGCCACAAATTTGAGAGACAATTAATCACACACAGCTGTACTATTCTTAGCTTTATGAATACTACGTGTACAAATTTTTCCCGGTCACAATTTTGGTTCAACATTATGCACATTTTATAATATATTTGGCATGCACAGTTGTCATAGCAACCACAATGTGCATAACAATTGTACTGGTTATTTGAAAGGCAATTTATACATATAATGCTACAATTGATTGCAGTGATACATACATTATTGATGCCTTCGAGTGGTGTGGTAAAATCTTGTAGCAACGCTTCTTGTGACAGTCGTCTTATTTCAGCCAGTTCCAAATTAAGAGTATCTAAGTCTTCATATCTGATTGGTGGGTTAGCTGCAGTGCCGATCTGTGGCATGGATACTGAAACGGCTGTCATAAAACCAGACAATAATCAATGAACAAACCGATTACTAGCTCTGAACATCTATAAATATGATTAAATGGCAGCACGGTCACGGTGGCCATAGATATGGGTCTAATTACGGCACAGCAACCTACTGTAACTGCGTTAATTTTGCGACAGACATATCTTCGGGAATTGAGTCGGTGAATATTCTGAATACTGTGAATATTGTGTGTAAGTAAAAATTTCTCTGGAGTGTCAGCGATTGACTTTCATGTAATTTTGTCTTCATGAATGCCATAAAATTGCAGCGAAAATTGAGCAGTTTACAGTATATTCACATAGGTCAAATGCATTGTTTTAGCAAATTGAATGAATGCGACTGCTATTATCACCCTTATGAGGTCTAAATGCTACTTCCGTTAACATAACCCCCCAATATATAACCCTCTTCTCTCCTCTCTGACAGGTGTGTTGGTGTCATTTTTTAAAAAATTTTAAATAAGTTTCTTTTATAAAAATTTAATGATAAATTTATCATTGCTACAAATAAACACTTTGGAGTACAGCATTCACAAACATACAAACACTTCCTGTATGTCTGAGTACAGCATTAATAAACACACAAACACTTCCTGTATGAACATTGAATTGCAATCACTAGATATCCTGCATATTGTGAAATACCTTTGCATTCCTTAAGTGGAGTGGCAGGTGTCTCTTCAATTATGGTAATATTTTGGTTATCCTGACTTGTTTTTACTTCGTCTGCAATTACATCAACAAATAAAATTAAATTAATGACCATTTTGCAAACCAGAATGAAGCAGTAATGTAATTACTGTAAACTAATTTAATTTTGTGAGAGAATTTTTTTAGTAGTGAAAATTTCACTGGGTTTTTAAAAACATATTGTTGAAACCACTTTTGCAAAGTTCTGTTCCAAGAATGCAGTTTAATCATCAAATAGCAAAATATTCCTGACAGCGAATATTAAACTGTATACAACACAGACGGACAGACACACTGACAGACTATGGACAAATTTATGTACCTTTATCTTTTTCTATATTCTCTATATTTTGTGAGCGATTAATGACATCATCCATTGCAGACTGTAAAATGGCTGTTGATGTGGCAGTGGCATAGTGATCATTTGTAACAGCTATATTGTCAACGCTGCATTTCCTCTTATCAATAGGGGAACCATCAATGGTTCCTGCGGTAGACGACGAACTAGATTCAGCCTTTTTTAGCGTTTCTGTAAAAAAACAATAAATGATGTCAAAACTACTATTTTTTTGGTCAAATCGTAATACAAAATTCGCTACTACATTAAGTTTTTGGTAAAGATCAAGAGAGAAAAATATATCTGAATAGCACCCTCTAGTGGCATAGTTGAGACACATTAATGAAAGAAGCACAATATTAGAAAAAACAAATATTTTAATAACAAGCTCCTGTTTTCTGCTCATCAATTCTATTTTAAAATCTAAGATAATAACAAACCTGTGTCCCATGCTGGTTGAATTACAACAAGTCAGTTCCTTTTGTGTTATCAATAAAAACACATTTATCGGCAAAGCCAACGGTTATTAAAAGTATAAAGCTGTTATATTCAGCTGTGTCTGCTACATTATAATAAATCTCTTTTATATACATTTTTTTATACCATGATTTTTCATAAAGCAAATGAATTCTGTCAACCATTTTAAATAACAATAATTATCCCACTCGGTATTCAAATTTTTATGTTTACCGCTTAACCACAATTGATGACCTTGTTTACATGGAATGAGGTCACTGGCGATGAACAACTAACATGATTACTATCCCACAAATTATGAAAAAGCAATCAACTAAATATTGAAAAGTAGTCAACAATATTACCCACCCCCACCCCATAAGGACTAAATGAATGAACTGATGAAAAATGAATAAATATTATGAATCAATTAATGAATAAAAAAATAAAATGTCAATCACAAGACCTAGGGATGCAAATGAATGAATGAATAAACGAATGAATGAATGAATGAATGAATGAATGAATGAATGAATGAATGAATGAATGAATGAATAATCAAAGAATAATCAAAGAAAGCTTAGAAAGAACTCCAGTGTGCTGAGAGTATTGGAGGCAGTCCGGAGCACCTCTACCCTAAGTTAAATTTTAATCTAATTTTTTGAGTTATCAGAAATTTACTAATGATAATTACATAATCACTATGAATGCTTTTCAACATTAAACTAATCATGTCTGTGGATTACCCCAGAATATCTACTAGTACGTACCAAATTTCAATGATACCAAGTCTTATTGAAATTTATATAATACTGTAAAACATGTCTTTTTAGCGAATTTAGCGAGAGAACTGATTCGCAAATTCAAGATGTCGCTAATGACTTTATTATAAATTCAAAATTTTTGAGTCACAATATAAACGATCAATATTCTGGATGTAACGCAGCAACGATGCCTACTTTTTATCATTGCGAACACAATCAAATTACACAGTTTTTATGTTTTTATGGAGGTGATAACTGCGCATTTGTTTTGGAACGCGACAGACAAGTATTGTGAAAACAATAACCAACAAATTTTTTTATGACAAGAGAGATTCCCTAATCAACATTTCGCTATTATGTCATTTTACCACAATTCGCTAAAATTGCATGTCGCTTTTTCAACATGTTTTTGAGATATACATGTTGATGGAAAATTGGTATTTATTATACATGGAGTTCAACCCCAAAATGATCAGACCTGTGCAATATTCTGGGGAGCACATATTTACCAACTTTCATCAGAATGTGATAATTAAAACAAAGCTTCATTGAAATGTGATTAAAACATGAAATATCTGAGATAATGGAGAAACAAACATGCATGAATACATACATACACATACACACACACATACACACACACACACACACACACACACACACACACACACACACACACACACACACACCCACCCAGACAGGGTAAGCACAAAGACTCACACACAGGAGTCAAAAACTAGTAAATAAATAATAAACAAATAAATAAATACCTGAGTCAGTGTGAATAACGGATCCATTGCTCTGTAGTGACTCAATGTGATGTTGTTGTAATAAATCTTTGAGAAAAGCAATTTCTTTCTACAGGAGTGACAAACAAGTAAAATTTTTGCTTATGACAATTTGACAGCATTTGTGAAGAAAAAATTTCATAATAGTGACTATGACTCTATCAAAGACATCTAAATGCTAACTTCTTCAAAATTTTATGCATTTTCCTGGCTAACGAGATTCGCAAAAGAATTCATCTCTCCAAGAATTTGCAAGTTACACTGATGTGGTCAGAGTTCTTGTAAACACACCACTATGAAGCTCTAAGTCCTCGAGAAAATTACGTCTATTTTTAGAAATTAATTCCAGGTTAAATTCTCATTCACCATATCATAGTGTGGTACCATGCAGTGAGTGATTGGATTAAATTAATACACGGTAAATTAAATTATTTATATTACCATTTTTCAAATATTTTGATACATCCCATGGTATTATATAACAACTATATTAACTCTACCGATAAGTAAAAGCACACATTGCATTTTTCTGTGTATTGACCATTAAAATATTACCGGTTTTTATTTTCACCACTGATACAATTCTACATTTACAATAACTGTTTGTGCTACTAAAATAGCAAATATGGTATTGTATGCTGAATTGTTATTAAAATATGATTTATTTTCACCACAGACATACCTCTTCATTTATGTAAGTGTATGTGCTAATATATCTAGTCAAATATTTAATATCAATCAGGGTAACAAATGCTTTGTACTGTACAGGGCTTGATAATTCACTGGGTTTTATTTTCACTGACAACAAAATGCACTGGAATTAAATCCTTGTGACATTCAAAACAAAACAGTGAATTTAAAACCCAGTGAATATTTCTTCTTTTCCAGTACTTATTATTAATTATTATTCTCTAAATTAATTTTTAACATGAAAATGCTAAAAAACATTATAAATAACTGACAGCCTACTTAAAAGAATTCTTTTTCCCACTGCGTCAGCATTGCGAATTACACTGTGGGTCAATAATCAGATGTTTTGAGATCGGCAACGTGTAGTCTGAGTGAAACAATTGGCTTTACAGCGATTGAACCCATAACATAATAACTATTTGAGTGCAAAACTTCAGGCACCATCCACAAAATAGCTCCATCTGTAGTCTGCTCTTTTTCACACAAAATGTTGTGAAAATTTAAACCTTTTCGATCACAAACTAGAAGAAATGTCACATTTTGTTTGTTTGTTTCAAAATTACGATTAAATTCAGTGAAAATTATAGAAAATGTCAACAAATGTACCCTAGTTTAAGCGGGAAAAAATTAGTTTAAACTGCCTGATAGAAGGTAAGTGCATTGACCTGTGTACCACACTAGTTTCTACTGGATTAGCAATAGTTTGAATAAATTATCTAGTTGGTACAGTACTGTAACAGAAACATGTATAAATCCAAAATTGCATTTCTTGTATACTGCACCATTAAAACATGACTAATGTTTTCAATCATGCTATCAAAAATGTTGTGATTGGAAGATATAAAGAGGACGGGATAACAGAATTTCATAAAAATGAATCGTTACTGTGGAGTGTTACCCCGTTCATGATGGCTTGTGATAATTCATCTATCAAGTACTGTAAATGCATTAAGTATTCACTGGCTTTTGATTTCTCTATTTTCGCTGATAAGTAAAATTCACTAAATTAAATTTACAAGAACATGTAAAATAAACATTAAAACTCATTGTTTCCTTGACAAATACTTGAAATTAAAACACAGTGAATATGGTCAAAACATCAAAATAGTGAAATTAAATGTCAGTGAAAATAAATGGTTTTACAGTAGGTTGATTACAGCTATAATGCACTCACATTCTGTTGATCACATTGCTGTTGTAACTTATCGGCACAAGCTTCAATGTTACGTCTCATGATTCTTTCAAGTTCAATCTGAACGTCCGCATCTTCTCGAACCCTGTCTGTGATTCCTAGAAACGGAATTTGGAATGACGAATTAAGTATCATGATCAATTCCCTAAATTAGCTCTTTCTGTCAAGTCATGAATAATTACTACATATTTGGTACATACCTTTAATTATGAGATGTAACCTTCCCATTCGAATGATAATAAGAAATGATAAAGTGTGTAAAGCTGGATGACTGACGGGTGCCAGCCACAGAGAAACATCTAATGTAAATGTCAAAAATACAACTAATCCATCAACAATCTGAAAAATTATATATAAACAAAAAAAAATGTTGTAAGAAAAAATCCAACTTCAAAAGAATAGCTCATTAAATAAATTATTTTGTATGAGCCAGCCATCCCAATGAAAAGGATAGACTATGTGTGCAAGGAAACTATTTCATGAATGAAGTTTGAATGAGATATGTACATGCATGACTGAGATCCGATTCCAAAATGCCTGTAAAATGGCTGCCGTTCGGCCATCTTTAATTGCATCAAATTGAAAGAAATGCATGTGCATATGTATGATATGACATGTGATGCGTAAACAAAGTTTGAATGTAACTGGTCCAGGCTTGTGTGATCCAGACATGTGCGGACAGACGGATACACAAACAAACAGATGCACAGACTAGAAGTGTAACTTGAAGTCCGTTTTTTAGTATGTCCAAACACTTTCATCTAAGTACTTTTGTTTGAGCAGTAATTTAATTGTCATAAAGGAGGCTGCTTTTTAATTTGGTACTGTTACATCACTCAATATTGAGGATTCTGTCAATTTTGCCTAGACATGTTGTATTCATTATTTATCATCGAAGTATTCCACTCACATCCTCCCATTAGATAAAATAAAATTATTCAGTAATTACTCAAGTGATAGATGTAAAAACATAGACAACCATGCTCAACTACGGTGTTCTTCCTAAGGACCTTTCAAGTGTTTGCATGAATATTCAACAGGAAACAATAAAAGCTACTGATATGCTAATTACACACTCACATGCTAATTTGTAATATTTCATATGCAAATTAGCCAATATGCTAGGGAGAACATTGCTACTTCATATATATAGTAATATTTAAAATTTCATAAAAGGAATTGCACATGAAAAATATCTACCGGTACATTGTAAAGAAAATAAAAGTCTATGTATACAAAAATTCACATGTTGTCATGGAAACTCACTGAAGATAACAAATTATCTAGAACGTCTGACACACCTCACAACAATTACCATGATTTTCATGTTTCTATGACAATGGTTTTAAATTTTGAACTTCAGATATTATTACAGATTTTGGGCAGAGAATCAATCCAGCATAACACAATTATTTAATGGTTCATGTCACTGTCTACTTACCTGCATTGGTTGGTGGAAGTACTCTACACCCATTGCACATATCCTGAAAATAACCTGGTAAACAAAAAAAGTTTAATACATGTGTAGTATAAAAAACATTCCATCACAAATTAACTTAATCTCCTTCGTTTAAAATTAAACATTTTCAATATGGTTATATACATGTAGTATTAAAACATAGAAAAATGTATCCCTGTGAGAGTAAATCATTCAGAAATTGTTGTGTAATGATTCACCTAATGCAAGTTTTTATGAAGAAAGAAGGATGTGTTTTCAAGAAAACAAAAGTAAAATAACCCAAAAGCGGCCATTTTGGAACATTTTCCCTAGGAATCCATGTAAATACATTATTCCATAGATAACTAATACTGTGAAATACTTTATTTTTGCTGGAATTAATTTTCGCTGAAAAGGCTTTTTGATTGTTTTGTATGGAATTTATTTTTACTGATTTTTGATTAGTTTAATGTGAAATATAGGAAAAATAGTATATTTACTGGATTTTATTTTCACGGAATCATCCCTTCAGCGAAAATAGCAAAAATAAATTCCAAGCGAAAATAAAATATTCTACAGTATTCAAAATTCTCCAATTTTCATGATAGCCATGAGAGGTATTAAGCCAAATAACAATACATATAGCATAGGTCATTGAATCAAATTGTCAATTGTAAATTACTCAAAACACTTATTTTGGATCAAATTTTGCGGTTATTTTTGAAAAAAATTGTACGATGACCCCATATTTTTATTTCAGAATTTTGAACATTACAGCATTCCAACCCCCTGGATTTCAAGGATTTCTGAGTATGTTATTTAATGGTAGCAAACTACCTTGAAAGCAAACCCTGCGTAATTCGGAAACCTTTCAAAACAGATGCCTAGTCAATAAAATATATATAATAATAAAAAAAAAAAACGCCTTTGTAGCTCAAACAATTTTCTTATTAGGTTTTAATTTTGCTATATTCACATTTATCAGCTTAGTTCGGAATAAATTTACCTACAAATCACAGATATGATAAGTTGCCATGCCAACAAATATGACTTAAAATATGATAATTGGGCAAAGCACCATATAAACCTGTGCTTACATGGTTGAAAACTCTGGAACTGTTGCCATGGTGATCAATAATCCTAAGATACACCAGATTAGATGCATTTAATGGTACTTTGACTCTAAGAGAGAGAAATTAAAAGAGTTCTTGAACTGAACCGTTTTCCAGTCCAATTGATGATTTACTGTTTGTTTTTTTTGTGTGCGTGACATTGATTCTTACAAGAAACAGAGTACTTTTGAAGTTTCTCAGAAAAAAAATCCACAAGGTTCACACATTTTTATTTTACTAACTTTGTCCTCAAAAGTGAATTTTACGACAGTTAAAGTAGGGTAATACTAAAAATAAACTGACATTCGTAGTTAAGTGTAAAAAATCCCTTTCCTGCAACCCAGCATTTCAATCGGTTCATCCCTACTAACACTATAAATTAATCTTTTGTCTTGGCCAAATTTCAGTGCAGCTTTTTTTGGTATTTTTCAATAATTTGTTAATTTTTAACCAAATGGTCAAAATTTTCCATCGCCTACATCTCTTGATCAACCTTTTTGTAAAAAAAGTAAGAAAAAATGCATCCAACATTTTTAACAGATGTGAAAGTGAAAATGGGTAAAAAAATGTCTGTTACCATAATTGGACAGAATTCTTGAGGACAAAATGGTGCTACAGTATCTAGCTGTCTTAATGATCCCAATGAAATGTTCATTGCTACAAAAGTCACTGTGATTCACTGTAACACAATTTAGTGCTACAATTGATTTTTATTGTTTCCATGTTGCAAGAATATTTATTTCGATCTAAATTTTTTTCAGGTATCTTCAATTTTAAAATAATTTTTTTTTAGAATTCAACAGAACAGTTTTAGAGAGTATACACTAATTCCCAAATTACAAGAATAAATCAATTTTAGGTAGAAAAGAAAATTTGGTACTCACCTCGAACACAAAGACAATGAAAAAAAAAAGACAGACATAATGTAAAACTGTAATCACAGTTTCTGCTGTTTTTGACGAATCTATAAAGAGACAATAAAAAAGCGTACTTAAAAGTTGTTACTAAGTACTTGAAACACTTATAGATGAATATCGCACAGAATTTTAGTTTAAATTGGTTGAAATTGTTCCTGTCAGTTAAATAGTACACAAAACTGAAATGAGTCAGCCATTTACATGATGTATAATGTAGTATACTGCAGACAATGTATGTAAAAGACATGGCTCTAAAACAGCATTTGTATTCAGCCATTTTGAATTTGATCTGAAAAAAACATCATGGTCCCATTTTATAGAAGTTCATTATATGTAGACAAACAGATGGTCAATCAATAAGCCCCATTTTTTGGACTACGTCCGAGCGGGAAATAAAAATTACAATTCAATCGGCATTAGAAGCAATATACTGTAAATTCATTAAATTTGCACTGGTATTTAAGAGTTGATTTTCCATTCATCAAGTAATCTCACTTATTGCATCTGTCGCAAAAATTGAATGATTTGATTTTGAACTTGAATATCTTTTTTTATAAGCTCAATGTCGAAATGCCGATTGTTGAGAAAGAAACATAGTGTTGAGATACCCTTTACCTGACCATCATTAAATTTGTATCACACATTATTAAGCATGGAAATACCAAAAACTAGTTCTGTGTTTGTCGATCCCAAACAATGTTTTGACACCACGACTATTATTTGTCCTGTTTTTACATTTGATTTCACACATAACACAGGATTTCACAGAAAATGGTTCATTATATTTGATATTTGGAGCATATATTTGGATTTTAAAAATTCACATATCTTTTAATAATACAATGTCTGTGTTCAGTTGTAATTTGAGATTTTTCAGAGCAGGCAATTTAATCATCAGCAAACACAGTGAAATTAACACCCAATGATTAATTAATCCATTAGCACTCTTCTCTCATAAAGTCTATATATGCAATGCTCTACTCTCGAAGTAACCCACAATTAATTAATAATAATTTTTGGTTTGGCTGTTCCCTGTACGGTATTGAGACAGAAACATCACATAAAAATGTCACAGACACTTTATTTTTTTCTCATTACTATAAGAAATGAAACAACCCGGTGGCCAAACACAAGGATTGATCTATATAGTGCTTACGCAGACATGTTAACAAGCATTCCGTGTACGTACACTCCACTGAAATGCATTTACGTCACTGACAGTGACGGGTCTTCCGTTACATTGATTTGCATGATTGAATAAAGACAAACATATCCATTGTGTGTTGTATCGATCCTAGGTCTGAGTGGAATTCAGGTAAAAAAAATCATGTTTAGAAAATGGTAGTCAAATTCAGGGTTTGACAACAAAACAGCGTATAAACTTCTGAGTGAATAAAAACCTAGACATAAGAATGTAATTTCTGTAGTACTTTTAAAAATAGTAATTAAATTAACATACAACAAACAAACTTACAATGCACACTCACCAAATTTAAGACGATGATATGCTACAAATTAATTTAATAAATTAACAAATTAACATACAACAAACAAACTTACAATGCACACTCACCAAATTTAAGACGATGATATGCTACAAATTAATTTAATAAATTAACAAATTAACATACAACAAACAAACTTACAATGCACACTCACCAAATTTAAGACGATGATATGCTACAAATTAATTTAATAAATTAACAAATTAACATACAACAAACAAACTTACAATGCACACTCACCAAATTTAAGACGACGATATGCTACAAGCGTTTCTGTCGTTGCTATGAGGCAGATAAGTACAACCATTAGGAGAATAATAACCTGAACAATAACACTATTTATAAACCTCTCCATCGCCATGCAATATCTATATACAAAAGAAAAATGGAGCATTAAATCATGACTGTAAACAATATAATAACGACAACCAGCAAAGAATTACATGTAATGTCATTGTTATTTTAAAATATTCTTACTTAATTTGCTCTATTAGAAGGGCACATAAACCAAAATTTGCATTTATGGGGCAGTTTTTCCGCCACGCATGCACGAGATATATGGGTCTATAAACCAAGATGGTGACTTTGACTGTTGCGCAGATCAACGAGTACAAACCAAGTTATCAAGCTTTAATTGGGTAATTTCTTAGGTTATTGGAAGGTATTGAAGGAGATACCGATGGTAACTAATGCAAGTCGCGCCCAGGTAAAACCAGACTTGTGATTTCCATTTGAAGAGCGCATTAGATTGTGGGAAAATCAATGTCTATCAACACAAATGTTGCACATGTGCAGTGCGATGACCACCACCCTTTAATGTATGCTTATCATTAAAATCCAGTTTATTTCTACCATAGATGCATTTATGTAAGCACTAATAGGAATACATAATGAAGACTTGAGTAATGTATAATTCCGGTAAATACTGGAATTTCCAAGAATTGATAAATTTGAGCATGTATTGATAGGGACTGAATTTCACAAAAGACGGCATATCTCTTCTATATAACTGAGGAATCCCACTGAAATGTTCAAAGCTATAAATTTGTTTGATTCCCCATTACTTGTAAAATTTATGGAAATTTGTCTCTGGTGGAATATATAGCATACAAGCCCCTTGAACCAGTCTCTGAGAGCAACATTCTGAATATTGCATTAGTGAAAATTTTGTTGTAACAGTCACAGAGTAATAGACACAATAATAACATATCAAGTAGAAATAATTGACACAAAAATATGAAATATAATTGTCAACATACGGTAATACCAAAAATACTAATATAGATTCTTAAATATGATATTTATATACAATTTCTGCACAGAGACAATATTATATGGAAAGATTTAGTATAGAAACCATGGTAACACACTTTTGAGTGCCATAGTGTCAGCGCATCATTTTGCACAATTGTACGGTGCCAATTGGTGTCTATACTTTTTTGAAATTATGTCAATTGAGGCAATTTTACATATACCAATGTTGCCACTAACAATGAAACATGTTAATCCCCACAGCATTGAATTACAGGTACGAATTTGCACCACCAGTTGTTGTTGTATGCTAGTTTCAGGGCCCATTTCATTTAACTATGGTGGCAAATAGAATGTTTCAGACGCTGTATTTCCTACCTCAGAATTATCTTTAAAATGAAGTTGGTAATAATAAATAGGAATAACAACCCACAGTGGCAAGTATACCACACAGAGTATGTATATGGAGCGAACATGTCATAATGCAGACACGTTAGGCAATTATGCAAATTAATGTCATACAGGCATCTCAAACAGGTATAGCGCACATACATGTATGTATTAGTAAGATTTGTCAATGTTTTCACAATACATAGGGCAATCGGTTATGTTTAAATAAGAATTGCTCTCTGACATTAAACTGACATTCAAACCCAACTATCTTCCCATGAAATCGTGACAGATAAGCTTTAAGCGGGTTATAGCAATTTCCTTTCACTGTGGTAAAACAGAATTTAGTACGGAAAATTATATACAACTAATGAACAGATGATTGTAATGGACAATTTACAGAGAACCTCATTCACAGATGGTTGCCATGGTTACAGGAGAATTTAGCAGACAATCAAGAAAAACAACTTCCTGAACAGAATCAAGAAAACAACTTCCAGAACAGAAATTGGATTTGAACTCATGAATATTTTTTTCTGTATACATTTTTAATATTACCACAGATAAAAATCAATATTCTTGTGACGAAATTTTGAGTAAAATAGTAATTAAGAACGACACTATTTTTTGAGACATCGTTTTAACTCTGCGAGAAGCAAATATCCATGAATCATGCACATCAGGATAAAATCTAAATTTATGTAGCAGTGCACATTTCATTTTGAGATGTAAAAAGATTGACAATTGCTATGCCAGATAATGGGTCCCATACGTACAACATTCATCACATTAATGTACTATATCTACAAAAATAACTTTCTGTGTTTCACAGATTAGACTGCACAAAAAAAAAACAGATTAAGGTAAAAAGGTTTATATAGATAAAATATGAAGATACAAATATACAGTATTATGTGGACTTTTTAAGTACAATAACGCCATATTTTTTGCCACCAAATTATTGGTACATCATTTCAAAATGTTTTTATGTTTTTTTTCTATGATTTAGTGTTAACTTTGGATCTAAGTTCTATCTAGGACATAATGATATGGATAAAAATAATTTCCTGATCAAATTAAAAAAAAAATAGGAATATTTATGCAGCTTGGATTTTTGAAAGGTTGCCATGGCAACAAATAACAGAACAAAACACAACAACGGATTGAAAGGTTAAGAAGTCCAGATAAATAGCATACCACTATCTCTGTAACTTATGAAATGTGTAAATGTTATAAATACATTGTACGTGTGCTTGCCCTTGTACACTTTAGATGTGACTTAAACGACTCCCGCTGGTATCCCAGGTCAGCAAGCTATTCTATCTATTAAAGCAAACTTAAAATAACTATCTAAATTTCAAAAAATGTATGTATGTGGACTTTTCTAATTGTGTGAATAGTAAATTGAACTTTGAGTCACAGTCTTAGAATTAAATTATATTAAACAAATAATATTGTTATAGTGCAATTAAGCAAAGTGGTAAACAAATTATATTTGTGTGTGCACACATTGTAAAAGTGAAAGTTGCAGTGATCAGTGTATTTCACACGTGTTGACCATATGGGACCCATGTCAATTACGACTCAATGACTGTAGTGATTTGTGGCTTTATCATATCATTACAATTCATTATCACTTTGCAAAGTGTAATCATTTAACCTTTTCAGCACCAAGTCAACTTGGGGTTAACATAAAGGGGTTAATAGTGTCGTTACTGTAAAATACTTTATTTTTGCTATTTTCACTGAAGGAATTACTCAGTGAAAATAAAATCCGGCCAATATACCTTTTTCTATATTTTACATTCAACTCATCAAAAATCAATGAAAATAAATTCCATACAAAACACTCAAAATGTCTTTTCAGCAAAAATGTATTCCAGCTAAAATAAAGTATTTTACAGTATATGGATTTTTGCTTTATTTATTTTTACTTCCAATGACCAGAAAAATCAACAATCTGAGATCTGTTACAACAAACAAATAATTATTGCTATCATTATAAACCATTAATTAATTAATTATATTCCTTCCACTATGTTTTTTCAATTTTTAATTTCAGATTAATTTATCCTAATTTTGTGAAAAAAACACTGTATAATGAACACAACTGGTTCAGTGACCAACATACTTTGAAAAACTACTGTACGTTTAAATTATAAATAAAATACAAAAGGCTAATTATTTAAAGAGTAGAAACTGAATGCTATGAACAATATGAGGTACATTAGAGCCTATGTAACAAGGTTAGACCAACATGTGTCGGCCTCCTAAATAACCCACACACAGCTTTTTGAGTCATCCACAGGTATGTAAACGACAAAACAAACGACTTATTGTTTAGCAAAACATCACGCCTGAAGCATATTTGGATCAACACAGATGTATAAACTGAAGGTGAACTTGACAATACCAACAAACAGTGAGAGTGCCGTGAAGTAGAGGGAGTGTATAGCGTCAACACTTGAATCCACTTGAATTATTCCATCATTCAGATTCAATGTTTGCGAACCCCCTCCCCCTCCCCCCCTGTACAGGCTATTGCGTAGTCATGAGAGTATGAGTTAAAAATTAGTGTATAAATAAACATGTCTAACCATTCTTTAAGCTCATTCTTAAAATTTAATTTAAAAATACATAAAAATAATTAGTTTTAATTAATTAGTAATTAGGCCACACGACATAAGTTATTGAACTAGAACAATGTGTTTACAGAAAGACGGGTTGTACGGAAATATGACTCCAAACACGTTTTGCATTTTTATTTGCGTATCGGCGGGACAAAAAAAAAAACACAGTTTTTTCATGTTCTGAGTGAGCTGTTACCATTTGTTCAGTCACCTTATGATAACACAGAATTAAACCAGATAAGGTCGTGTCCGAATAATCATTGCAAGCGGGTAAATAGATTTTGATTTTGCAATTTGCAAGTTAAAAATGGCAAAAATTATTGTTGGATGAAAAAAAAAAGTACTATGCCCAAATTAGCAAAGTGGTAATTAAATTTGAAAGGCAGCCAACAAAACATTACAATCATATGATATAATTAATTCAAATGTATGACTGAGGTGAATATTTGCTACAAAAATGTTTGCGCAATTTCAGGTGAAATTAAAAATATCTATGATGTTAAAATTGAGTACGATACAACCTTGCGTAATAAAATGACTGATTGGAATGTCTGAATCCATATTTCTATAAAAATTAATTTCCCAATATTATCATTATATCATAATGTTAACTCATATATAAAGCTTATCAGTGACAGCTGGGGTTAAACTGATTAGATCGTCTAGTTGCTACATTTCCTATATATATATCACATTTCCTGCAGAACCCACTCTGAAACCATGATGTAAAACATTTAGTCAGACCAACCACTACACATACATGACAAAATAGCTGCGGGCTACCCAACACAATTACAAAGTAAATACTAGCACTAAACAGACGCACAGTTGAACTAGTAACATGATCTCAAGAAAACATGGGCGTTGCACAGATTCTAAATTTAATACGCCAAACTTTTGTTTTAAAATAATACAATAAACGTAAGCCATGGAAATGAGGAATCCAAATTGGCAATTATAAATTAAGGTTTCAATGAACTTTTAGAGTGATTAATAACCCTAATAGTAAGGTTCATTGGTTGCTTATTAAGGTGAATTCAATGTTTACACCATGAAAATGAAATTCCATGTTTATAAGCAAAATTTTGTTGCTAAAAAAAAAATGTTTTTCTCTGCATTTTATGATATTATTAGGAAGATTGCTGTTATTGAAATAAAGTGAAAATGTTCTAGACAAAATAAACACCAAATTTGTCCAATATAAAAAACAAATAGTGTTCAGTGTACATGTACCTGTTTCGAGTGACCCCTATGACCCCTATTATTATTTTTACTAAAGGTGGATATTTTTAACATAGGAAAGTGCTGTGATGGTATTCTTTGTGACTGAATATTTGTAAATCTGTAAATTCATCTTAGTTGCATATATTTTGACAAATTTTCAAAATTCAAAACGGCTGTCAGAGTCAGATTCACAATATGGAAAGATGACTAGTCACCGTTTGGACTCTTTCCTTTACTTTACTTTTTTTTTAATTTGTTTTAAGTATCCCTCCACCACAGTTAGTAACCCAGTGCTTTCACTCAGCAAAATTTGTAGTGTATGCTTTTAAATTATCAGTACTTAAAAGCTGTGTCAGTCGTTGTTCTTTCACAGACGTTGTACGGTACGGTAGTTATCAGATGTTACAGTAAATCATTCACTTGACTGAACAGACAAAAGCACTACAGAACAGAAAACATAAAGTGGATTTTGAATGGCCGAGACGAATTCCTGAAGAACTAACTTTCGATGGACGGGTGTTTACAGTAAAGTACTGAACAATAACACACAGAAAATCTACCCTCCGAACACAATGTCCATTTCATGCTTAGTTTACTCAGAAAAGGTTATAAAATGCATAATTAAGGCTTAATTAATTAGAAGAGATGACAGAATATGATATACATCCTAATACTAGTAAAGTGATGCGAGTAACCCTACCACAAACTGTAAAAGTGTTTGAACTTGCAGCTCCAATGTCAAAGACAAATTTGAAAACTGTCTATCTATTATTGTGATGCACATTAACAAAGAAAATAAAGTTTAAAAAATGTTCTTGACAACAAATCAAACAACGAAAACAGATTTCTTTTCTATAAAATAGAAACCAAATACATGTAGTAAAGTTGAAAAAATAAAACTGTTGTTGTTTTTCAACATGTGCATTAAAGATGGTCTCAAAGGGATAGTCTGAGTACCATGCCCACAAGGGGAGCATAGAATTGCAAACAATCAGACACTGCGGTTATACAGAGATGCAAATCACAACAAAGTTTGTTTTTCCATTTAGTATACAGAATGTACCGGGTAAGTTTATATGATCTGCTTGTGATATCGGCATAAAAACATGATTAACGGCACCTTTGGTATTTAGTGGGATGTTACATCTTGACCACACAACAATATCATATCATCCAACAACATTTTCAATAGACAAGTTTATTTTTACATTGTCTTAAATTTAGTAAATGCACTAATTTTTTTACCGGAATGATGATCGTGTTTTGACATTTTCTCCCAAATGATAGTGATTCAACATATTTCCATGATATACAAAAATAGTAAACTTTAAAGGGGAACCGCTCAATCCCATGGATTGCACCAAAGAATCATGGGACACTATTGTTTATGTTGTTTACAATGTTAATCTATCTTTTGTTATCCATTGTTATTTTAATCCAGAAAGTAAATCTGTCGTGAAATTAATCTTAACTGAGACATTTTGTCTCTCCTCTGTGGAGGTGACGTGTTAAAAAACAAAAATTCAACACTGTGAAATACTTAATTTTAGCTCTCAGTGAAACTGATTAATTGGGTTGATATTAATGTGTTTTTTACTGATCTTTCATAGGGTTCATAAAACAAAATGTATTTTCTCTGGAATTTAATTTTGTTGTTATTTTAATTTTATCCATTCTAACTATTCACTGGATTTTAATTTTGTTTTTTTCAAGAATAAGTAAAACTTGCTAAAATTTAATCTATTAATATATAAACATGTAAATTTACAATACAACTCATTGTTTTCTTGAAAAAATCATAATATTTTTTAACTTAGTGAATATGATCAAAATATTCAAATATTGAAATTAAAAAAATTACAGTATTTTTTTTCATAAATATCCAAACATATTTTAGTATGAGGTAATAATAAAAGTAAATGAACAAAATAGAAGTTAAGCTCAATATATATACTCAACCTGTGCTACTGTTCCAGACTAATAGTTTATAACAAATACATTTAATTTCTTTCAAAACAAGATACTGTAACCTATGTTGGTTAAACAGACACTCCTTTCTATTAAACCTTAAATTAGGTCACTACCTGGGAGGTTTTTTTTAAATGTTCATTTACTGAGTGTGAAAACATCTGTTTTGATTCCTTAAGACCGACACTTTACAGTTAAAAAATGTACATGTGCACTGAAAATGAAACTAAATCATTGTGAGTCTCACAAATCTAGACAATCACCCTAAGCGAAAAAAAAATGCTTAAATTTGTTATTAAAGCGAAAAGGTCGCATATACAGTGGTTCCGTTCATGCTTTCTTGGTCTCCATAAAAGGCAATGCTTCTGCCAGTGAATCGGCTTTAGCTTGCCCATGTTTTTGCGACAAAAGACACAGTCTACGATTTCACCACTGTGTCACCTTGCTATGATTACCAGGTCATAGTACACTCCTGGAATTAAAAGGGCACTGCCATTCAAAGGATACCATCCATAACTTGTTATGGATCCAAACAAATGCAAACCACCTTTATCCCATATCATAACACAGACTTCTTTCTAGCACAGAGTAATGTGAGAATCTAGCGACTAAAGTGAGAACGTACATAGATTCTGTTCTCGATGTAATATAAGAAACAGCTACCTTGCTTCCTGTCACTGACCTTAACAATATATAACCAAGAAACAATTGACACTAGGGACTGTAAACAACTATTTACCGTGTAGTTAATATGCACACTCAGGCTTATTAATTTGTTTAGGAAATTACATTTGTCACGATTATGTCTATTGAAAGACATTTTCGTCAGTTTAATTTATGCATGGCTAACGTTAGTACCTTCTATGATTTATGTCAGGTTTTGTTTACGGTGCAATAAAGGCTATATTTTCAGCGGTTAATTGAAGTATATTTAGGCGAGCGGAACGGCTCTTTGTCGATCCTCACCCCTGGCTGGTACCATTGTATTCCCTCGTTAGTCAACGTTGAACTGTCTCGCACTTGTTCTGTCTTCTAGTTCTACTTGTCTCCGCTATTACAATGGAAGAAAACCAACTTTGTACTATATTAGCGTCGGGATGTTTTTTAATGTTAACGGAATGACCGAGCGCGTATCACAGTGGCTTAGGTGTAAGACTGGAAGCCACAATAATGAGGCAATGCAGCTGATAAAAATCTAGAATAAACAAAATCAAATCTCCCCTAAAGATAACAGTGAACGTTTTATCTTACTTTGGTCGTGGTCGCCTCCTATGTGTTGCGGTGATCAAGTCAGGCGTTGAAAAGCTTCGAGGCGTCGATGACCTGTTCTCGAATCCATCTCGCACAATTGTCACCGGTCCTTGATGGCTGTAAAACAACATAGTCGATAATAGTAATGTTATCTGGCGAACATGGTTGCTTTTCTGAAAATATATGGACATACGACAAGAAAAACACCGAAAAATGTATGGAATCGATCTCAACACCTTTCCTCATCGGCCGCCATTGTGTGTTTAGGTTTTCTGTAGTCGAGCGCCCCCATAGAACATCTGAAAACGGCTGGCACTTTCGTTTTCTTGCCCCATGTTTGTTAACTCACCTCCCTGACACTCATATCCATATACAATACAGAATATACTAGTAGTGTACTTTATTTAAAACGTTTCCCAGATTGCTAAATTCAAACGAAATAACGGTGTATCTTGTACTTCTTTTTACCATGCCAACAGCTTTACCTGTAAAAAGTAACATTCTATTTTGTTTCATTTTAATACGTGCCATTAAATATTATTATTATTATTATTATTATTATTATTATTATTATTATTATTATTATTATTATTATTATTATTATTATTATTATTATTATTATTATTATTATAGGTTACTTTACTTTATTTTATTTTATTTTTACTGTTTATTTAACATAACAGATCAATTTTATGAACTACTGTTCCTGAGTTTTAAAAATTGACTAAATAACATAAACACATTGTACAAAACTCCGAGTAATATGGAATCTACATAGCTGAAAAAGAATATAACACATTTGTGAAATTTATTTTTGTAGTCTGAGTACTCATTAAAGGGCAGTAGTCGTTGCGTCACACATGCGCGAGATATATTGGTCTCATGTAAACAAAGGTAGCAACTTTGACTGTTGCACAGAGCAACGACTACAAACTGAGACGTTACCAAACTTTATTTAGGTATTTTTTAGGTGATTGGAAGGTATCGAAGGAATCACCGACGGTAATTAGTGCAAGTCGCGCCCAGGTCAAGTCCCATAGATTTTAGTGATTTCCATTAGAAGAGCGCATTAGATTATGGGAAAATCAATGTTTATCAAAACAAATGTCGCACATGCGCAGCGCGACGACCACTGCCCTTTAATCTCAGAAATACTTAGTAAAACTATTACATCTTGATTTTCAGTGTAATGAAATACACAGTGTGATTCATCACCGATATCACTCTTACACACGTTGTGCTGGTGTATCCACCGAGCTAAATTGCTAGTTGGTGGGAAGAAATTGTAAATTTAGTAAATGTTTTTCTATATTTTAGGTTCGTAATCAGGAAGAGGGAGCTTTCGAATTTGTAGGTTTTTTTTGTAGGGGGGCAATACATGTTGTTTTTTGTTTAACCTTATTCACACATTTCATCAGAACAGGGTTGATTTTAATATCTGCCCCACGAAAAAAGTTATTACAGTTACGCCGAGTTTCACGAAGGCGCGAATTTGTTTTATATTTAAATATTTAGAAAGGTTTATATATTTCAAATGGCGATCGAAAACGACTTGGCCAATCAGAAGCAATAGCGGATGGATACCACCCGCATAGAAATCCACTTCGGTGAGTTAATCTTTAACCTCTCCGTTGACACTTGCTCGCTTTCGCAATTTAACTTTCTGTGCTAATAATGGTACTACTTGTATTGGCAGTCTTTTAAATTTATTTCAGCGAATGAATCACTATATTTTTTTTAGCGTTTTAAACAAGTTTGACGGGATCTATCTTTTACGTCTATGACAGTAAATCGGCCAATGATTGAGGAAACCCTGCAAAGACACATGGGTAATGGTTACCTAGTGGTTCCAAAAACATCTTCCCTAAATATGAATGAAGCGCGAGAATCTTTCTGGATATTTTTTTAATAAATATTTCTAAATGTACATATAACAAATTCACGCCTTTATGAAAATTGACTGGCACTGTAACGCTACTCCGTCAACACCAATCGCGTTATTGCAATGTGTCACGTGATTTGATAAATAACATAATGAATATTAACATTAATGAACACATACTAGTACTTATGTATGCGTGATTTCGTGTTCTTCTGGGCCCGGATTAGCCCTCAGATCTATAGGTATATTTTTTGTCGCTATAAAACTATTCGATTGATTAAACTATTTCTTACACAAATGCGCATGCGCTGTTAGTTATTGGTACTAGTATTTGGGTATTCCACTGTTCAAAAATTCTTTTTGCTACATCGTTTTTGATTTTCGAAGTTATAGTCAATGTCCAATAAGTAGTTAAACATAACAAGTGACATGACCAGGCGGAGATAACCACCTATTAGTTTAAGAACATAGGTATATTAAATATATATGATCTTTGTAAATTACAAACAGGAATGTTAATTTTTGATCTGAAAAATAAAAATCATGCGAGATGTGTGCTAGATTATTTTGACCAATTCAGCACTCGCACATTACAAGAGCTGTAGAAAACGCAAACTTTTTTGTAGAAAGGAAACGTTTAACTCAAAGTCAACACAGTGTAATTTATAGTAGTACCTTATTCCCTTATTCTGGAACTCATTGCCAGTGTCATTAAAAATATCACCTCGCGATACACATTTAAACAAGGTCTTAAACAGTATCTCTGTAATAAATAACCCAGTATTGACTTATTTAACAATTGTCACTCACTTGACTTTTATGACATATTTTTGATCAGTTTTAAGTATTCTTATATACATTACCTTTGAATATTTGTAAGAATATTTCTGATAATTTGACTAGTTTATAATTAGGGTAGGGACATGATGTTTTACTAGCTCTTTTTGAGCTATTTATCATGTTCCACACCATAATGACAAAGTATTATGTATTTAGCAAGTACCCAATTGTATTTACTTTATGGTGAAATAAAATATACAAATACAAATACAAAGTCTCACCCTGGTTTTACATCTAATCCCCCTTTCTCTGGTCGATTCCAGGGCTTCAATAACATATTACGCACAATAAATGAACGAATTATTCGCTATGATGTAAATACACAGTAGTGATGATCTAATGAAATTATTTTCGTACCCGGGTTACGGTATTTTGTATGTATTCTCGGGGGCGGACATCCGGGCATTTTCTACCGCCTGGCAACCCTCGCGGTGAAAACAAAGACCAAAAACTCGCAGTAAACGGTACTTTGCGATGGTTGTTGAGAGTCCCCTGAACAGTGTAACAAGATTAGCCCTACGTGTGTAACATATATGAATTTGGTTGTTTCAGGATTACTTCAAAGTTGAGTTTGTGTTGTTTTCTCGAGTTTTCACCGGCTCCACCGGCATTCCACAGCAGCGCGCACAAAGCCCATAGAAATACGTGGTACAGTGGTGCGCGTCTTAGCAACGTAGAACGTCCGTGACGTAGCTCCGCCCCCGAGGATTGCCGGCTTCAGAACCCAATTTTATCCAAGAAGCGCCCTCTCTGGCTGAACATTAGCGCGAGATAGGAGACAATATGGCGGCGAGGTAAACGACCGAGTCATTAGTTTCCGATGTGTTTGTATACAGCGTTTCTAGGCGGAACGAAGTCTATCAGGCTCACCGAGGCTTCGCAGATAGAAACCAACCTTTACCCTTTCACTATTACGACCCCATTTCTTTTATTGAACGGTAAATAACAATACCAGCAATGACGTCGACATGATGACGTTTTTTTTTTTTTTTATTTCATTTGCGTTTAGAGAATGGCCGCTCCGGGGTTTGGTTTTATTTTAACTATTCAGTATCGGACTATTATAGCTTGAACTGATTTTCTACCAACATTTACGTCTTCTCACAGCCTGGAAGAAACGTTTTAGGTAGGTTTTAAAGTAATTCTCGATTTTATGTATTGAACAGTATACGAGTCGTACGATACAGCTATCGCGGTATCAACAACTCAATTTAATATTGTGCCCGTAGTTCTCTGTACATCCTACAGGTATGTGGGGCGTAGTAAATGTGTGCCGGGACGGACAACACTTGCACTTGAGTTGAAGGACTGCGTCTATCGTTTGTTTAATACGTTATTCACTTTTCAAACACTATGGCTTTTACATATACATATATCTGTATGATGTGCTGTGTGTATGTATACTACACGTTAAATATGTTATTAACTTTAATGTTTTCTTTGCAGGGCTATCTAAATTGGTTTATTATCTATCAGAAGCCAGCAACTCAGTTTGTTGATATTCAAGACATTTCATAGTTGACCATTTTCGAGTTAATCAACGTCAATCTATTATTGAGTGAATTACAATAATCCTAGTACCTGCCAGAATCCACAGGTTAACACTTGTACATGATATGGTTCTTTGACATGCCTGTTTAGATTGGGTACCATAGTACCGGGTAACAGTATTTAAACTTCAACCAATCAAATCATCAAAAAGTGACAGACTGTAACCTGATCCATACAGAAATCAATATGCCGGCAGCAGATTTTCGTCCCCCGACTGTAATTTGCTACATCTGTGGACGAGAGTTCGGTACCAAATCTATTGATATTCATGAGCCGCAATGTCTAAAGAAATGGAATGCTGAGAACAAAAATCTTCCCAAGCAGAATAGAAGACCAGTGCCGCAGAAACCACAGATTTTACCTGGCATCGACAAGGCTAATGCTAATAATGACAGAGAACGCTTCAATCAAGCCGCTTATCAGAGCTCCCAACTTCAACTTGTCCCCTGCAAACACTGTGGGAGAACATTTTTTTCAGACAGATTGCCAAAACATGAGAACTATTGTAAGCCGGCATCGGAGAGACCCAAAACTGCTACTCTATCACAACCAAGTAGTGTTACGGTTGCAAAGAAATCGTCTGTCACTATTGACAGTAATGCAAGTCAAAATTCCACCCAATCACCTAAACAACAGGTTTCCATGGGACATGTGCAAGGTCCTTTAAAAAAATCTACTCCAAAGATTCATGCCAGGGTACCAGGTCAAAAACCTCCAAGTATTTTGTGTTATATTTGTGGCCGGGAATTTGGTACGAAGTCCATAGCTATACATGAGCCGCAGTGTTTGGAGAAATGGAAGGTTCAACAAAAACAATTACCAAAAGCGATGCGTCGCCCACTTCCTCAGAAGCCACAAGTAGTGGGTGGAACAGGAAGTTTTGAATATAATGAAGCAGCGGATCAGGCTTATTTGCAACAGCTTTCTCCGTGCCCAAATTGTGCTCGTACATTTCTACCCGACCGATTACAGGTACATATGCGTAGTTGTCGCCCCAAAGGTGGTGCAGCTGCCCCTCGCCCGCAGGAAAACGGTACAGCTGAGCGTCCCAAGACAGTCACCTTGAAATCAGCTGGAACCGGTAAGCCGCCGACTGTCATTTGTTACATATGCAGCAGGGAATTTGGCAGCAAATCGATCGCAATCCATGAGCCACAGTGCTTAGAAAAATGGAAAGCTGAAAATAACCAACTTCCAAAAGAACAGCGCAGACCGTTGCCAAAGAAGCCAGAAATGTTTGCTGGGGGAAAGGCAAGTGTGCAAGATATGAATGAAGCTGCATGGAAGGCGTCTCAGGGTAATCTCTCACCATGTCCTAATTGTGGTCGCACTTTTCAACCAAGTAGATTGCCAGTACATAGACGGATATGTAAACCGAAAAACGGTAGAGGGATGGCCAAGACTGAACAGCAAGCCCAACAGTCGGTGAGTGACATAAATTACTTTTAGCATACGCCCTTAAGCACCACATTCATCACAGATATTGACAAGTTATTTTTAATTTCAACATATCTTTCTTATGAACTGTCGGTTTCTCTTGGTTCATTTCAAATACCGAATTGTATGTGATGCACTGTACATGCATAGAAAATAACCCATCCCATACTAGTCTGAAAAGCTTGATTGAACACATGTGATTTAAGTTGGTGTTCTAGTATTGTTGTTTTCAGATGACCTCACCACACCCAGTGCTTCCAATAAAGTTGTTTATTTCTCCCTTCAACAATTGTTCATGTTTGATATGCTTAAAAAAAAATTATGAAAAGAATGAAGTATTAAACAAATTATGTATTTGTAGTTTATTCTATAACAAATTTTGCCTGTGGCAAAAAATCAGTAAATGTATGAGGGCCACAAAAATATTCCTATTTTAATTACCAGATTAATGCCCTCCAAATAATCAGGTATTTTTTTCCCCACAATTTCAATCAATTCAAGACATGTTCTGAAATATTTGTTTTGAGTGTGGGATTACTGGTCTTCAAGCCATACTTACTAATTCAACATACTGGGTTAATAAGTAAAATGCAAATAAGGTCAACAACAAATTTGACAAATATCAGACAATGCCTCTATGTCAGAAAGTTTTGTCTATGTTACAATGACATTTTTGTACATGTATAGTATGGTTTATTATAATTAAAGATCTAGTTACCAGTACTGATTTGTGCATGTGTGATCAACAATCACAATAACTATACCAGGATTCAATGCCACTTAATAACCAATTGATTTCACCACTATTATAACAGGAATTAGAAAGAACAGGCGTGTACAAAAAACAAAAATCAAAGACTGTTTAAGAACAGCGTATTGTTCAAAGGTTTGACACTTGGAAAGGAAACCTAGGATAATTAAAAGTACCTTGAGTCATGTGATTATAATATACGCGGTACTTATATTGGATACTTGTCATGTCTGTCAGTCAGTCAGTCGCGTCTTTGGGTTCTTGTCACCCTTTGGGCCTCTAATTGACAACCGTGTCGAAAGGTGCAAAACAAATCCATAATCAGTTAATATAACAACACTAATTAATATATGATACTTGACTCTAAATCTATTGTATTTCTCTTAACGCTTTTGAATGAATCTTTCAAAGTATGCAGTATGATGGATGTGGTCAATTGAACTGCCAATAACTTGCGTGCTGGACTATACCATTTAGGTGTGGGGGAGACGACTGTGGGATAGTTAGCATGATGTGATTTAGTGACAGGTCAATTAGTAACATGCTGTCTTTGTTTTATTTTACAGGCATTTTTAAGGCTTAAAAATAAAAATCAGAGATAGGATAAATCAAAATAATCAAATTAAACCTTTAAAACAGATAAATATTTGATAAAATAATTTAACCTTTGAACACCATCTTTTTCTTTCGTACATTGTTTTATATTTCTGTGTTAATTTGTCGTAATTTCCCACAGCTCAAAGATACTGTGGTAACAAAAAATTACCTTGATATTAAACTTAGGCAAAGATTATAGTAATTGATAAATATTCGTTTGTGTTTTTTTCCTTTTTCTAAAATTAAAGAGTGGTGGTAGTCACGCAGCGTGTGTTCAAATTTCATGTAAACAAATGATATATTTTTCATGCGTTGCTATGGGTCGTCGTGATAACAAAGAAAAATGATGATGTTCAAATATCTGAATGTTATGGTTACCATGGTTTCCTAATCATATCCAACTGATAATCTAATGTCAAGTCATACTTAACTCTTTCACACCATTATTCCAATATGTTGTTACATTTTGCACATTTTTCTGTATTTTTCTGTAATTTCTTTGTTAATTTTCAATCAAATGATTTCACTTTTGTTTCTTGATCAAAATTGTTGAAAACAAATTATGTCACATGTGGTTAATTTTGTGTAAGATGACAAAAGTTGACCTTGATGCTATGTAAACAATCACAGGTGTAGTAGATAACTTAACAGTTATCTATTTAAATATTTAAAGGAGAATTAAAAAAAATAGATATATAATGACCATAATCATATGCAAATCAGCTGCTACAATCATGATTGACGAGATTGTTTTTTTAAATACAATATTTTTGATGTTGTAATCTGTTTTAAATATTTGCTACTATTGTTTATTTCACTGTATCACCTTGGTGCTAATAACAGTGAATTGAATACTAACTATTGATGTCAGCAAGAGTGTTTGTCACATGTGTAGCTTGTTGCCATGGTTATAACACAGCGGGGAAACAGTTACAGGGTTATTAGCAGTTTATCTATTTATAGATGTGCAGTAGTCTGTGGGCACTTATCTGGTAATTAAATTATACAGTGACGTGCATGATATTTGTGTATTTCTTTGATTCCTTTTTATAATTTTTTTTTACATCTTCCAATGCTATTAAGTTTGTTTTCAGAAGGCACTCAATTTCAAACTGAAAACAACATAAATACCTTGAACTTGTATATAGATATCAGACAGTTTTGAACGACATTTAGACAATTTCTACGTTCACACGGCAGCATTCTATTGGAGCTGAACTACTGCCCCTCCCACCGATTAACAGGAGATTATCTCCAATGCGTTTACACGATTGGGGCCGAACAATCGAGGGACAAGATCTTCCAGAGTTCAATTCAGCTCGATCAGAGTCGAAAGCAACAGTGTCCTCAAATACTTAATATGAAAACAACATGGCTGAAAATGATTTTGGTGTCGTGCTTGTTTTTCTTTACATGACACGATTCTGGGAGAAAAAAAGAAACAGTCACAAGTCTGAGACAATACACTGGTGTTATGATTTAGGTATCTCGAATAAACAGGATGCACGGCAGCTAAAATACGCTGAATGTGTTACAGCCTATTCATTTAAATTATTGTCATGCAAATTTTAGTTGTTCAACTGTTGTGATGTGTGTAACAGTTGTCAACCTTAACCTAGTAGGAACACATCGCTGTACCATGACCGCTTCTACGATTTATATCTGCGGTGTCTTAAAAAGCTGCTTCAATCTACATAGGATCTGTTCAGTTGTTCTTTCAGGTTTTTGTCGCATAATTTTGTATGCCATTTTTCTTTTTCCCGTTGAGCTATCAATCTATCACAGTATTTCTTTACTCTGTCAAATAGATATAAGGGCGTGTACCTCTTCATCAAGCCAGAAATTGCGTGATATTACAAAATATGTTGTCTCCGCCATATTTGAAAAGAGAGGTTACTTGAAGAAGAGGAATGAGGGCGTGATTTCAGCTTCGATAGTTGGGCCCTGATGTGTTTACACGGTCGGGCTATGTCGGGGCTCATTTTTTTTCATTTTTGCTGACTCAAGCTGTAAAGCTCCTATAAAATGCTGTCGTGTGAACATAGCAAATGAACCTTGTATCTATAAGCCTTGGATAAATATAGACAAGAAATTTTGTTTTTTTAAACCATAATAATTATTCATTAATTAAGCTATGAATGAAATACAACATCGATGTACTGTTAATTGCTTTATTTTTTGTCCTTCAGTGAAAATCAATTTCATATGAAAAGTATTTCACAGTAGTACATGATTTTTATGAGCTCAAATTTGTAATCAAAATTATTAGTATTATTAGATTAACCTTTATCTGGTCAAGCCCATGTAAAAGTACATGGGGCAGGCAGGATACAGGGTGATTAATTAATAATCCAGTTTACTGAGAATTGGGATTTGGGAACCTCTAATTACCTGGAACAAACAAGTCGAAATAAACACCCGAATAAATAGTAATAATAAACCACATGATATTTATTCAAATTATGAATAATAAACCTAATTTGATTAAGTTATTATGTAATTTGATGAGTTAGAAAGTACATGACCACAAGCTGATATAAGTGCCATTACTCTCGCTATACATAACTGTTCTTTTGATACTACATGTCCCGTTACCATGGCTACTAGTTTAGTAAAATGATGCTGACATTTGAACAACCATAGCCTGAACCTCATGATTCCAATTTTCTTTCAACTCAGAAAAAGCTGTGTTTATACAATTTCCACTACTCCTCAGTTTTAAAACAATTGGTGAATTATGCTTAATAACCTTGCTTTTCAGTTCATTGTTTTTTTCTTTTTTTTTTATCATTAGCACAAAATATAATAGGTGTGATTGGTATTGAGCACACTGACAATTCATTTCTAGTTGTGATTGATACGACTAAGATGTTGAATCAGTCATGTTGATATGTTCAAATCAAATTTTGTTGCAATCTGGGATTATTTCTATAACTTTATTGTAGTCTTGGACTATGTTGTGAAATACTTTTTAGTCCCCGTTCGGACGAAGTCCGAAAATGGGGACTTATAATTCGGTCTCCGTCCGTCCGTCGGTCCGTCCGTCCGTCCAGAGTCATATCTCAGAATCCCTTGGACCGATTCCGTTCATTCTTTGCATGTGCCCAGTACTTTATGTGGGACATATGCACATGCAGTGGTTTAGCGATTCGATTCAAAATGGGCGACTGGCTGCCATCTTGTTTTTTGAAAATGTTGTATTTTGGACATGCTTTGTCAGTTTTCATTCAAACTTGGTACATAGATTATACATGTTAGGATACATGTCCATGATGATTTATTTCACAATTGGATCAAAGATGGCCGACTGGCAGCCATCTTGTTTTTTGAAAATGTCGTATTTTGGACATGCTTTCTCAGTTTTCATTCAAATTTAGTACATAGATCATACATGTTATGATACATGTCCCCGACCGTCCGTGAGTTCCTGAGTCTGTCCTTCCGACCGTCTGTGTGTCCGTCTGTTCGTGCGTCAGTCTATCCAACGTCATATTTCAGAATCCTGCGGATCGATTCCGTTCATTCTTTGCATGTGTCTAGTACCTTATGTGGGACATTAGCACATGCAGTGGTTTAGCAATTCAATTCAAAATGGCCGACTGGCAGCCATCTTGTTTTTTGAAAATGTTGTATTTTGGACTTGCTTTGTCAGTTGTCATTCAAACTTGGTACATAGATTATACATGTTAGGATACATGTCCATGACGATTTATTTCGCAATTGGATCAAAGAT